CAGATGATTTTAGGCATTGTGAAAGATCATTGATGTATATTAAAAATAAGAGAGGTCCTAATATTGATCCCTGCGGTACCCCAATGTTACTTGTTTTAGGGTGTGAGTAAGTGTTAGATATAGACACAATATATTCTCTACCTTTTAAGTAGTTACGTAGTAATTTCAGTGGCGGGCCTGTTATTCCAATAGACTCTAATTTAGCAAATAGTATATTGTGAACAAGTGAATCGAATGCTTTAGACAAATCAATAAAGAGCGCCCCCGTCAAATTACCTGCATCAATTGCCTGCCGAATTTTATCTGTCAAGTAAATTAATGCTAAATCAGTTGAGCATCCCTCCCTAAATCCAAATTGATTAGTTGATAAGACATGAAATTTTGAAAAATAGGAAGACAGGCGTGTTACTATTAGTTTTTCAACAACTTTGCTAAAGAATGAGAGTATAGCTATAGGTCGATAATTAGATGTGAGACGCTTATCTCCCTTCTTGAAAACAGGAATTATTTTGGCTTTCTTCAAGGAGCTTGGAAAAATTCCCGTGGTAAAAATAAGGTTTACTATGTGACAAAATGTTTCAGATATTAAACTTGCTATGAGTTTTATGAGAGAGGGGCGGAAATTATCAATACCGGGCCCGGTATTTTTTAGACTAGAAATGATAGTGACTATTTCTTCAGGTGTCACGGGGTGAAGGAAAAAGCTGTGAGGCATGCGTGGGTAAGGCTGGGTCAGAGGATCGTCTTCCCGTTGCTTGTCTGTACAGAAGAAGTTAATAAAAGAGTTAGCAATGTCTAAGGGATTATCGAGAAGTAGGTCTCCCGATTTTATCATTGTTATTTCGCTATGCTGGTTGGGTCTACCCAAAAACGAGTTTAAAATTTCCCACTGTTTTTTTACATCATTACCGGCACACTTAATTTTATTTTCATAGTACTGTGTTTTGGCATGTTTGAGTAGTTTTCCTAAACGATTAGAATATTTTTTATACCTATCATGAAGCGCAGTATTGAACGGTTGTTTTTTTTTTCTGTAAAGGTTATCTTTTTTCTTCAGGCAATCAAGCAAACTGCTAGATAGCCATGGGTTACGAGGAGCTGAGAACGGTTTTTTACAGTTCATTATTTCGGTAGAATCTGCAAGGGCATTGGAAATTATCTTTGAAAATGTATCGTAGGCAGTTTCAGGGTAATCGCACGCGATGACTGGGTTCCAGTCTGTAGCAGATATTAACTCAAAGAACTTTGTTGAATTGGGCTTCTTTCTGGTTAGGCCTGTGACAATAGCGCAAGGAATGTATTTTAAACGCACAAATATTGGATAGTGATCGGTAACAGAGGCTTCGACAACGCCGCAGTCAGGGTTAGTAAGGAGATTTGATAAAACGTGGTCAATAAGTGTACCTTGTTTATTTGCGGGACATCGAGTTGGAAGCGTAACTAGGTTTTCATACCCAAAGCCATTTAGGCAGTTAACGTATTCATTGAACAGTGTGTTGGATGGATCTAGGAGGTTAATATTGATATCGCCCATGATAATGACATTTTTCTGCTCCAGGGATAATTTGTGCAACAAATTACCAAGGGCCGAGCAATAAGCACTTCCACATGATGACGGTGAACGATAGATGCAACCAACTATAAGGTTTTTTTTGTCCTGTGAAAAAAATGAATCGTGAAATTCAACCCAAACAGATTCGCAGTTAGCCACTTTGAGTGTCAAGTCAAGTCGTCTATGAAAACGCAGTTCCGAGGACACGAAAATAGCCGCACCACCATGATTACTATTATCGCGGTGACAGTATTCAGCAGAGTATGAGGGGAAGGTATACAAGTGATTATGAGATGCGGAAAGCCACGTTTCGCTAATACAAATCACAGAAAACCTGTGACTAGTTGATGATAAGAAAGTTGGGATACCATCCATGTTTTTTTGCAGACTGCGTGCATTAAAATGAATTAGTGAACGGCAGGGCAAGGAAAAATAGGTCTGAAGTTCGTGAGGTCGAATGTACGAAGCTATTTCACATAACTGAAAGATTGACTACTAGACTGATTGCAAAATGTTAGGCAATATTGCATAAATCAGAATCGGAAGCAATGCGAATTACCCGACTGTCGGGAGACTTCCGCACCTTAATCTGGCAATTTTCCGTCCAGATGAACTGCCATCCTTTTTCTTTCTTTAAGGCAAGTGCCCTAGAGAACAAGCGCTTATTGTCTGGTGATAGGTGCTCATTCACAAATATTGCCTGTGCGTTCTCTCCTGAATACCCTATACTTCGAGTGTTCAGCCGCGCCCTTCTGGCTTTCTTCATGAACTCGTTCTTTTTTTCACGAGAGCAAAACCGCACAATTATATTCCTTTGACCAGACTTTGCAGGTACACGATGTACCGTGTCGACATCGCTAGCCGAGACCTTACAGTTGATTTTGTCGCCAATGGCAGTCAGGATTGCGGAACAATCCTCTCCTTGGGTAGAGGGCACCCCTTTTATTTCCAAGTTATTTAACCTTGAGTACTGCTCGAGGTTGGCGACTTTACATTGAAGGGCCTCATTTTCTGCTTTTAGAGCGCGATTTGCGGCAGTCAGAAAAGCACAGTTTTTCTTGTACAACCCATGTAGCATAATTACTGTGGCTGTTATAGAGCACCGCATGCCACCAAAATACTCGAGCTCAAACAGAGAAGCGGTATGGTTAAAGTGATGAAACGTGCAGTCTCGGCCACAACCCTTGCCTCTCTGTAAACTTCCGCACTTCACCGGTACATTCAGAACAGCTTCCTTCAATGAATTTCGGGGATGTCCAACAATTGCACGTTGTTAAAAGCATAAGTGTGTATTATTTTGGATATTCCTGTTCATATCAGGCTGATAGAACCCGCCACGTTCAAGTTCTGTGAGTTGCGCATGGCTAGACTCTCAGCATGGCTGCGACACAAGCGCTACTAAATAGGATAATAAATGCTTGTGTCTCGTGTAGGAAGAAACGCCGTGTTCCTGAACAAGGACTGTCGGTGCCATGATATGGTTAGAAAACCGTCACAACGTTTGACCTTCGGTGCCGTGCAGAAGTTTTCCGCTACTCACTAGAGGCCTACCACTGCGGCGAATCCGTCGGGTCGGTACGGAGTGCCCTTAAGTTCAAAAGCCAAATCCAGTTCTTGCAGGTTTCTGTAACACGCACGAAGTTTCGGGGAGCATCGTTCATGCACAACAACGGAGGTGCACTATAACCTTTCACACCGCTGCAAACCATTAGGTAGTGATCACTGATCACTTTTTATGTTTAGGCAAAATATTTGGCTGGATGTACTTTTCAGTGCAGCTCATGGATACACTCATCCAAAGCGCAACGAGCCGCACATCATATATGTTCCCATGCTAGAAAACGGGTTGCCCTCCTACGGGCACCATTTTTAATCATACAGCGCACCACCGTTTGTTCGTGAGCATTACAGATATTGCATGCATTACGAAGAACTCTACTTTGTCGGACGGGTATGTGTTTTGAGTTTGTAGTGGTGGTGGTAGCTCTCTCCAAGAGGCCTTAGTGTAGGTATGACTGAAATAACGAGTTATAACAAAGCAATTTTACTTCATGCGGTAGGACGCATCTGTGCCATGGTGCCAGACCAATAGCTTGGGAGGATTTTGTGACTATATGATCTATATGTTGGTCCCAAAGCACATGTTCTGAAAAAGACACTACCAGCGCACCTATCTCTACATTGTCAAGAGTGTAAATGCACACTGAAATTCCAGGAATGCACAGTGTTTTGCAGCTACAAGAATAAAGGCAAGCGTACAATGGTAGATGCTTGTATATTGCACGTAGCGGTCAGGAATGCGTGAGCAAGCCGTGGAATAATTTGCATTAGGAAGCAATTAAAGGCCTGATCACCTATCTCTCGCATAGTGCCCCGAGTATGCCGGATCGACAGGCAATGCTGCATGCTTGTACGCTCGTAGATATATTTTTGATCTATTTGATTTTTAACCTGAGTGATCTCACACGTTTAGTTAAGGTTTGTGTAATGAAGATCCCTCTTCTTGTTTGCGTATCTGCAGACATACCTATTTTGTAATGAATCTTCAAGAAGAGTCATAAGTATGGTTCATCGTGGAATATAGGTATCTATCAAATTAATCACTTTCTTTTAGCAGGCCCAGTCTTATTGGTTTACGCACAACCTTCGTAAATTACTCAAAATAAGATAAAATGGCGAACAAGCCAAAAAAAATGTTACGTTCAGTTTGGACCATTGAAGCTGCGTAGAAATTTCCGGAAAGCAGACTTATTCGCCTAGTAAAACAAATGAATATAAGAGATGCCTATGCATAATCTTTGTGCCCATCGTGATGCTTGTGTTTTCAAGCGATAAACATGATCAGAGAGTTTACAAATCATGCAGCTATATTTTTTTTACTTGCGCAGTGCAGCTGCACGTTGTGGTACTACTGGCATGCTTGGGTAATGCTTTCTTTTCATTTATAACATACTGCAGACAAGAATTTGGTCCTTGCAGGAAGGGCACTCATAGTACACTAAAAAAAGAAATACAATATGAAAATATCAATACAGTGAGCACAAGGAATGTGCAAATTTTTACACTTAACTTAGTAAAGACACTCATACTGCTTAGTATAAAAACGCAGTACTGTAGTTACAACAGAAGTAAGTAAAATGAAGTAAAACATACAATACACTCACGCATGCACCTTCACGCAATCACTTCTAAAACTGGAGCAGCAGCTTAACTTATGGCGCTAGGGAAGAGACGCATTCTATATGCGGCCAACATTGTGCATAGCGTGCTAATATTTGTAGGGGTTGAACGTCCGAAGACCACCATGTGACGCCGGTGCATAGAGCGTAGTGTGTAAAATTGGATCAATGCATTGTGCATAAAGCATGAATGCCCTTGCACAAGACAGGAACAATCTACCTGTACACCACTGTAACCGACTATCATGCATATACTGAATAAGTTCATCTTTGTGATGACCACGTGAGTTCTTTTATTGCCATCATTTCTTTCAATGCCTAAGAGCTGTACCCGTTTTCCTCGCGATTCACTTAGACATGAAGATATAGCAACTCGTTTTGTGCTCTACGTTACTTCAGTTGCTACATAATTTTATACTAATAGTTTGTCATATACTTGAACAATTCTAGAGAAATTTATCCCATCTGCCGGGCTAGTTGTCTTTTGTTTACCTCAAACCCAAAGCTCACGGAGGAGCCGTCCATGCTGCCTGTTTTGCTAGTGAACAGGAGCAGCAAAGAAGAGCCCGTGGATTGAAACGCAGTCCTCGGCTGTTCAGTACGCGGTTTGTTAGTGTCGCACAGCTTCGTGATGATGTAGCGGGGGTCAGGGCGAAGCGAGTCGTATATTCGCACTGCCTCCTCACAAAGAGTAACGCGCTCCACTCTAAACCACAGGAACTCGACGTGTACCAGTTCTCCCGGGGGTGCAGTAAACTTGTACGAGCAGGTAGTATCTACTGGATACCAGGATCTGCGTGCACCAAAAAAAGGTATGTCAAGCTACGAAAGCACTGCTATAGAGTACGTGAATATTACTTTGACAAAACAAGGAAGAAAGGACAAAAAGGCACCGAAGGTAAAAAAACTGTGCTTGTGAATTACTATAGTAAAAGTAATAACAGAATACCACTGACCAGCCCAATTCTAGAACCATTTAGTAAGGTGTGGTTCACATAAGTTGAGCTGAGTTTATACACCACATATAGTTTTACAGTGAGCTGTCTAGACAAGGGCACAAAAGCTACATGAAACATTTCGACAAAGGCCCCACATCTGAGATTCACTGCGGCAATACGGTAGCAGAAGCAAAGCAAAGCAAAACACAACTCGTACCTACAATGAACATGCCATACATTGTAAAAACGTCCTACAGAAAGAAAGTACCAATACCACCATATTTAACAAAGCCTAATCAAAATATCGGTACTGGAAAGAGCACGCACATTTTCAAAAGTTATTTTGAAGGTATTTAGATGATTTCGCAAACTTTAACACAATGTATCAAAACCGTAGTTAGTGCGTGGCCTTGAAACTTAAAGATGTCACGGTTTAGGCACGTGGGAGAGTTTGGTTGTAGATCACATAGAAGAACACAGTGCGAAAAACAAGAAACCAGACAAAAAAAGAACACATACAGAACGCTGACTTACAACAAAAAACTTTGATGACCACTTTGACTGAATGTTTGCTCAAAGAACAAAAAATGAGTCCGGGGTTGCCGGCTCAGACCCATGAAAGTAGACGGCAAATAAGAAGTACGCTGTCATTCCTTACATCCAGGTGTGGCCCACAACCTAAAGAGGATACCCGACAGATGTGACATCAAGGTTGTTTTTCTGCCCTTAAGGTTCTGGGTAGCATGTGAAGGGCCGTCAACCCAAGAACTAGTGGAACCACTACTTGCCCAACCAAGCATCGGAATAAGTTAGTTCAATGCGTTCATGGCGTGGTGTATTCTTTGCCATTGTCCCTTGGCAAGAAATACATAGGGCAAACTGGGCGATGTTTGAATGAGCGTCTCAAAGAACACGCTTACAGCGTTTCCTCGACAGTGTCCGACCACCTAGATATTCGTTGTGAATGTGTCTTTGATTTTTGTGCATGTGCGGTAGTCAGCATGCCGTTGGGAGCAGCTTACCAGTGAAAAAGGGGCACGGCGAAATCCGTGGAAACATGGCTAAACGTTTCCTCTACCTTGTGCAGGGCTTGCTGCTCTGCGTCCCCAACGTATCTCCTGGATCTACAACGGCCACCACTGGGTACTCGCCGCATTCGCACCACTTTCCTTTCTGCAAGTCACAGCCGCCCCACGTGGAACCATGTGACGTCATCCCGAAGCTGCTGCCGCCTGGCAGTGCTTGGTCTGTGACGTCATCCGATCATCGACTACTTAAAGACACCTGGAACCCCCCCTCCCTTAGTGGGCACAGCGAAATCCGTGGAAACATGGCTAAACGTTTCCTCTACCTTGTGCAGGGCTTGCTGCTCTGCGTCCCCAACGTATCTCCTGGATCTACAACGGCCACCACTGGGTACTCGCCGCATTCGCACCACTTTCCTTTCTGCAAGTCACAGCCGCCCCACGTGGAACCATGTGACGTCATCCCGAAGCTGCTGCCGCCTGGCAGTGCTTGGTCTGTGACGTCATCCGATCATCGACTACTTAAAGACACCTGGAACCCCCCCTCCCTTAGTGGGCACGGCGAAATCCGTGGAAACATGGCTAAACGTTTCCTCTACCTTGTGCAGGTTAGTAGGGCGTACAGCTCATTTCGAAGCGATTGCCGCTGTTTGGTTGTTATGCCGTGCCCACGGCAGTGTCGTAAAATTGCATACGATTGTTTTTGTGCACTTCGGTTACTACTTTGTGGTGATGTCGAACAAAACCCCGGACCAACCAACCAAGACATGCTGGCTAAACTTTTAGAGGGTCAAAAAGCTCTCCGTAGTGAGGTAGCAGACCTTACAACTAAAACGGAAAACATGTTAGCAGAGCTTACACGGCGTCTTTCAGAAATCGAGACCCATGTGGCTGAAATGAAAACTAAAAATTCAAAATTAGATGACCTGGACAACCTTCTTAAGGTCTACACAAACTCAATGAATTTCCAGGCCCGAAAGCTAACGGATCTTGAAGATCGAGGCAGACGTTCAAACTTGATTGTTTTGGTATCCCAGAACAGCCGGAAGAAACTGAATCTGACCTTAAAAAGAAAGTCGTCTCTGAAACATTTCACAGCAAGCTCGGCGTTAAATGCACTTCTGTTGCCCGGATTCATAGGCTTGGAAGATCAGGCTCGAATAGGCCGATTATCTTGTATCTTCAGGACTTCACCGAAAAGCTAGCTGTGCTGAAAAAGGCGCGCAACCTAAAGGGAACTAACATCTTTGTTCAGAACGACTACTCAAAGCAGACGTTGGCAAAACGTAAATTACTGTGGGAAAGTGCAAAAGCCGACAAAGAACAAGGCAAGAAGGCATTTTTGGTGCATGATAAGTTGCGTGTAGGTGATGATCTGTTTATTTGGAATGACGTAACAAACAAACGTCAGTTAATTGGAAGCCGTCGGTGTGCCACGGCATCGCCTCAGTCTATCGGCAGTGCACCCGATAACGAAAGTACGGGTAGCAAGTGTTGACCAGCCGCGCAGAAGCAAGTTAGACTGATTAATATGAATGCTCGAAGCATTGGAAATAAAACCGAACAACTTGAGGCTGTACTTTTAGCATACAACCCTCATGTTGTTGTAATAACGGAAACGTGGCTCCACAGCGAAATGTGTGACCAAGACTTAGTGCCTCCAGCTTATGAAATGTACCGCAGAGATAGGGCCTCAAGAGGTGGTGGAGTTGCAGTACTTGTTAAAACAGGAATCACTGTCACCCGTTTACCGGACGTTGAAAGTACAGAAAGCATATGCCTGAGGCTTTCACTCTTCAATAAGTCTTTTGTATTGTATGCAGTGTACAGGCCGCCGAATTCGTTGCCGGATTATTTGTTTAACTTGAAAACCCATATGGAAAATTACAGTAATCAAAAGCTAATTGTCATCGGCGATTTCAATCTGCCTAATATTGACTGGAACCAAATGCAGTCGACATCAGATTTGATTAATGCAAATATACTGTTCGATATAATGCTTTCCCACAATCTCGCCCAAATTGTTCAGCAACCAACACGTGTTGGTAATGCTTCGTCCACGTTACTAGATCTTGTGTTCATGCATCGCACTATTCTTGATTGCTGTGTTTGTGTTGAACCCGGCTTATCTGATCACGACATGGTCACAGTTTCTTTTCCCTTGCATTGTAATCGCTCCAATAGCCCACCTAACTCTAAACAGGTCAAAAATTTTTCCCGTGCTAACGATACGAGCATCCAAGATTATCTTGAATGTGAATTGGTGCATTTTGATGGCGACGACGCTTTTGTTCTCTGGGATAAGTTTAAGAAACTATGCTTCCACTGCATTGAACGGTTTGTACCAAACAAAACGAAAAAACCCCCAAAGTTCACACCATGGATCACAAGGCCAATAATACAAATGAAGCGTAAAGCCAAGCGTTGTCGGAAAAAAGGTGCTCCCGCTAACATTCTCAGGGAAATTCGTAACTCCCTCTCCGAAGCTATTAAGAGTGCCAAGAATTTTTATTTTACTGTCAAGTTGCAAAACTTCATCAAAGAGGACCCTAAAAAATTCTGGTATTTTATTAGGGACCGTAAAAGCTCTGTAAATCGAATCAAGTTTAACGGCACTATCATTGACGATCCCCAAACTATCGCGAAAAATTTCAACGACTATTTTCATAGTGTTTTTTCAACTTCTACCCTGCCTGTCTCAATTAGCATTGACGCTTCTGATTCAGATCCTAACCTCATTTCTTTCGATGGTGTCCTAAATTTACTGCTGCGATTAAAAGTTAAATCAACCCCTGGACCAGACAACATACCCAATGCATTTCTCCGGCGATATGCCGAAATATTGGCCAAGTACATTGTTGTGATCTTCCGAGCCTCAATAAGTTCAGCAACTTTACCCATCGATTGGAAATTGGCACGTGTTCTGCCCTTTGTGAAAAAGGGGGACCCAGAGTGCATACCAAACTACCGTCCCATTTCTATGACTTCCGCATGTTGCAAAATGCTAGAACATATAATTGCCACTCGTATAAACAGCTTCTTAGATGATAACCACATTTTATCTCCCTTTCAGCATGGATTTAGAAAACGGTTTTGCACAGTCACCCAGTTGGTCTCAGTTATTCATCACATTGCTTCTATTTTAGACAAAGCTGGTCAGGTCGATGTACTGTTTTTAGATTTCAGTAAAGCATTCGACCGTGTTCCCCATAACAAGCTCATCGAGAAATTGCAGACTATAGGGCTTCCAAACTACCTAGTATCCTGGGTGTCTGCTTACCTGAACGGCCGGAAACAGTATGTCGACGTCTGTGGACAGACATCACCTCATCTCCCAGTAGATTCCGGCGTACCGCAGGGTAGTGTTGTAGGTCCGCTGCTGTTTATAATTTATTGCAATGATATTGTTAATGCTATTACTGATCCGGTTAAAAGAAGACTTTTTGCAGACGACTGCATTATTTTCACAGATGTACAATCGCCAGATGACCAGGTTGCTCTCGACACTGCCCTTAACAATATTCTTTCGTGGTGTAACAAATGGGGCATGGTGCTCAATTTCGATAAATCTGTTTGCCTTCGAATTACTAACAAGAAAAATCCCCTTCAGTTTTCCTATTCCTCCAAAAGCCAACCCTTAAAAGAAGTCAGTCAATACAAATACCTAGGTATAACGATAACGAATAAGTTGTCCTGGAATGCACACATTGCCGATGTTTCGTCATCGGCTTTTCGTAAACTGTGTCTTTTAAGGCACAAACTCAGAGACGCCCCGTCGCAAGTGAAACTATTAGCTTATAACACTTTAATACGTCCAAAGCTTGAATACG